GTCTCTGCAACGTTTTTGTTAGTGTCTACACTGACAGGCCTTCTCTCTATCCATTTTCGATATCCTGCTTCTTTTCCCTGGTCCCTGTTGTCTCCTTTCTCTTTTTAAAATATTTCCTGACTTTCACACATAAAACCTGAACATTTGAGAACTTCACTAACAAGTGAACACAGTTCAGTCCATAGTAAAATTCCTTCCTTCTGGTCAGAAGACTAGCCATTCTGTGTGTCTGGTATAATTTTGAATTTGTACTCTTTCCCCACTAAAACATTCTCTTCCCAATCAAATTTTCCAATTAGGAGATATTCTAGATACTTGAAAGTGGGCAGAAAGGCTTGCCTTATGATAACTGAGGTTTTGTTATTTTTATTGCTAATCAATCATATATTAATTATAGGCATGCTCATCTCAGGATTCGCAGTTTTATTTACAGCTAAAGTACCCAAACTCTCCTTATAAAATCAAAATGCAGTATGTTTTCTCTCTAGGAACCATCTCTTTTTGCTGTTGCCAAATTGTTAGAAACTGGTCTAGTTAACATGCACCGAATAGAAATTCTGTGGAGACCTCTAACTGGCCATCTACTTGAGGTAATCTCGTTTTCTTAATTATTATATTTACTTCTTGTTTAGAATAAAGACATACACATTAATGTTTCTGGATAACCGTAGAAAAAATCAGCATTAACTTTTTTTTCCCTGTACTTTTATCTGTATACTTTATCAGGGACTAAGTTTTATAATAATTGCTTTGGTGAAGTAATAGGTTGCTTTTTTGGCTGAAAATGGGTGATATATCAATGAAGTCTCTGGAGTCTCCTTCAGCTGCTAGTTTGAGGCCGCTTTCTTTTATTATACAATCTTTTGATTCCCTAAGCTTCAGCTAGTTCTGAAACTTCAAGGCATTTAGGGCTGAGACTTTGTACTAAACACTGCTCTTTTACAACCTTTCCTGTGATTATGAGGTAGGCTTTCTACAAAGGGAAAAACCTGTTTGGTTATAGATGGTGCCAGGGAACTGTGTCTGGATTTGTATTCTCTTGTATTCAGATTGGGGTGAATCAATAATTCACTGCTTCTTAATGGCAGCTGCCTCAGTCAGAGTACGTATTTATGTGTGGCTTAGGTTTAGGTCGCCATGATTATTTCACATTATTTTAGTAACCTAAAGAAGGTATTCTTAATTTAAAAAGGTGTTGTGCTTTCTTCTTTCCTTTTTTTCCTCTGTTTTATTGGGATTTCTCTTATGAGCTAGTAAGGAATATATGCAGATTCTTCATTATGGACATTCTCATCAAATGGCAAAAATATGTTCTTAAAATTTTAGCTCAGTATTTGATTATGCTGGTAGACCTAAATAGGAACCTTAGTATCTGCTTGTTTTGTTTATTCTGATGACATCATTTACTTTTATGAAATCCTTTCTTCTCCGTGAGTTGTTCAGTTTCATCTTTTATCTTCTGTCTCTCTATTGCTTCCTCTTGCCTCTCATTCAGAAGGTAAGCTTACTTACATTTTGGATATAATATTTTTTCAACCCTTATTGATGAACATTTGATATAATTTTTTAAATGCGAAAGAATAGAAAATGTGATGGTTTAATTTTTCTTTTCTCAAATTGATGTGTGATGCCTAGCTTAAGTATACAAGTTAAATATTTAACTTTTGTTTAATGTGTGTACCTTCAGGTGTGCCAGCATCCAAACTCTCGAATGAGAGAATGGGGAGCAGAAGCTTTAACCTCACTTATTAAAGCAGGATTAACATTTAACCATGATCCTCCACTTTCACAAAATCAGGTAAAAAAAGTACTTAATGTAAAATCATCCTCTCCCATATGTAACTTTTTCTTAATTTCTCAAATAGATGATATTCTAAAAATGGGTTTTGTTGTTTAATATTCTATTTTATTTGTAGGCCATGGATCTCTTACAAAACATTGATATGCCTGGATTTTTAGGATTAGCCAAATTAAAATTTTTTTTTAAATTTCTTGTTAATGACACTGAACTAAGTTAATAAATTATGTAGAATAGGGTCTCCCAGTCTAGAAGCTTCCCTCTTCATGCAGCGCTGTCCTTTCTGAGCCGTGCTTTATTAGCCTCTTTTGCTTTGGTCCTCACCTCTCTCTCTCTTTTTTTTTTTTCACTCCTTACCCTTACATGGGGAGAAATAAGTGGCATTAAGAGGCAGCCAAAGTAAAGTAGATTTTTATTTTTAAATAATTTTAAAGGTTATTTTATACATTCACAGTTTACTTTTGTCATGAGTCCTTTGTCCTGACTCCAATAGTCATTTACATGTGTCTTATACAGTTTTTTAAAAGTCCACCAGTTTTATTGCCTGAAGATTGAGTTGGAATGAGGCATTTAATATCCATTCCCCATTGCCCTCATTATCTTACTATATTACATGGAGTCGTATGCTACAAATTTCCTCAACAGATAATTACTGAGTACATAATATGTGCCAGGCAGTATTTTAGCTCTTCGAATAGAATGGTGAACAAGACAGACAAGAGCTCCATTCTAATAAAGCTTATGTTTTAGTGATTTGATATATTTTTCCTACTACAGTTTCAAGTTTTTTGTAAAGAAAGTCCTTGTCCATGTGTATATCCTCAACATCCAGCTTAATACCTGGCACATAGTGAGAGCTTCATAAATGTTTGTTCAATCAATGAGCCAAATAAATGAATCCTTGGAGAGAAGAAAGTTAAAAATGAAGCAAGTGCTTTCAGATGCTGAAAGGAATAGAGCGTAGTACTTTTTTTTTTTACTTTCCAAGATTTCATGGTTTTACGTCATCTTTGTTTGCCATACTTACTCATTTTTATAAGTATTGAGAATTTTAAATTTAAATACATGTGATATACATTAATTGGGTTAATAAAAGATAATTTTAGAAATTGAGAATTATTTTCTACTCTCCAAATAGAACTAGATAGATAGATGGATAGATAGATAGATAGATAGATAGATAGATAGATAGATAATCCTTTAGTGAGATTCATTTCTGTATGGGCCTGTAATTAATACCTTTTAACATAAAGTTGTTTTCCCCATTTATCCTGAAATCTAACCTTTTGAAGATTGATTTTTATTTTCTTTTACTTTAAAAAAAGACATACATGACAAAATAATCCTGATTACTGTTAGAGAAATCATACTTAATGTTTATTTTACTGAAAAAATTTCTCTTTACCCTTGCAGTCTGAGTGGAGGTGAATTTACTTGAAAGACAACAGTAGAACTTTCCCATGTTTTTCAACTTCTCTTTCTAATTAGCTTCTTGCCCCCTTTTCAGAGGCTGCAGTTGCTTTTACTGAACCCATTAAAGGAGATGTCCAGTATTAACCACCCAGATATTCGACTCAAGCAATTAGAATGTGTGTTGCAGATTCTGCAGAGTCAGGGAGACAGTCTTGGGCCTGGGTGGCCATTAGTGCTTGGAGTTATGGGAGCAATCAGAAATGATCAAGGGTAAGTGTTTAAAATTAACATCCAAAAAGTGATAGAAAAAGGGAATCCCACTAAAATCTTGACGTGATGGTAATTTTTTATGTATGCCCTTCCTGCTGAAGTTTAACGTCTAGAATAGTTTTTCTTAACCCTACCCCCAAGTGGCTATAGGGAATCATTATGGCTCATCTTTGTTTTAAAAGGTAGAAAAAAGGCTGTTTATTTGACATTTATACATGAATGCAAAGTTCTTACTTACAGTAAGAAAAATGCACCAATCTAACAAACTTTGTAACACACCCAAGTGCTGCACTTTCTTTTGGTAAATTCTTGACAAGATGTGAATGAGCGTTTAGGGCTTGACTTCTCTGCATGTGTTAGGAAGTCTAAGAAGTTGCTTTTAAATGACTTTTTCATTCATTTATGAAACATTGATTCTGTGCCTAGTGTATGTCAAATACTATGCTACCTAGTTATTCTGGTTTCATGGGTAAATAGTTCCTGTTTTAAAGGTAGAAACTTACGGAAAAGGAACAAAGCCTAGCAGCAGGAGCCTAGTAAGAGTACTTCGTTATGCCACAGAGGAATAGCACTTCAGTAGGAGGGGCGCATGCCCTGAGTGGGGCAGAGCCAAAGCTATGGGGAACCTTACATGCTGTTATAAGTTATGTGGATTTACCCTCAGTACATTGGGGAGGCATTTTAGGATTTTAAGCAGAAGAGTGATGTGATGTGATACGCATTTGATGTATGTTACTGTGTCAGCAGCATGCGGGGTGCGTGGGAAAGCCTGCAGGGCTCTCTGGAAGTAGGGAAGAGGAGATGGATTTGAGCTACTTAACAGGTTGACTAGAGGAGAAAAGGGAGAAATAGGAAGCAGAATCAGGGGTGACTCCCAGATTTCTGACTTAGGCAGCTTAGTGGATGGTGATATCCTTAACTAAATAGGGAACACAGAAGGAAGAGCACGTAAGGAGGAAATGTATGGACTTGTTTCATTTCAAATAAGACACTGCAGTGCAGAGATTTAGCAAACATTTGTATATATTTGCAATTCTGCAGCAGGACTCATAATACCTCGTATGGATGACTAGGAGTTTTACATGATGGAGAGGCTTGGGACTATTATGGAAAGTTGGTTTTGCTTCTTTATTTGTAGTAGCAAATTTCCTTAAATATTACAAAATACTGACATGATTAAGTGGAAAGAGATTAGCCATAGCTTAGGTCAAGCTGAAATTTCTCCTCTCAACCTACAATGCAGTTATAAAATAGTGCGTTGTAAGGATGAAATTAATTAATACACGTAAAACACTTCGAAAGCACATAAGACAGTACATGCTCAATGTGTTAGCTGTTATTTTCACCACCAGAATTGCTCTCCAAAAACACATATTTCTTATTCTCTTCATTTGAAATTCAGAATTACTCTTTACTTTTACAGACTAGATGTAGAATTTTAAATAGTATATAGTATAGATATAAATATAAGGAACTCATTTTCATTCAGTGAGTAAATTGTGTGTATTCTCTTGGGCTGGGCACTATGCTAGATGTTAAGGACACGTGGTGAGAAAGTAGCTGTAGCCAATATCCCTTTCTCACTCAGTGTCTTAGTTTTGTTTGGCTAGTTGATGCAAAAGAGAAATAATACGGCATCAATACATATTTTCTTTTTTTTAGTTTACTATTTTTATTTCTTATTCCTATAAGCTTCTTTCTTTATTTTTGTTACTTATTTTTAAATAAGCATATCTTTTTTACATTTATGTAAATGTTGAAGTATTTTATGATGTGTATTAGGGAAGATTTCCTTGTTCCAATTTTAAAATTTTGATTTGTTCAAATTATTGTAAGGTATGTATTTTTCCTTACATTTCTGTTAAATGCATCAGTTTTCCTTTTCTTTTATGGTTTCAGAGAGTCCTTGATACGAACTGCGTTCCAGTGTCTTCAGTTGGTTGTGACTGATTTTTTGCCAACAATGCCGTGCACTTGCCTGCAGATAGTTGTCGATGTTGCAGGTAGCTTTGGACTTCATAACCAAGAACTTAATATTAGTTTAACTTCAATAGGTTTATTGGTAAGTATCATTGCCTTTCTTATACAATCTGGAAATCACTGTTTGCAGTCGAGAGTGGATGCTAAGCGAGGATGCTTTTGGCGCTATAGGAGCATTTAAATAACTTATGTACCAAACTTATATCTTGTATGAAGGGTTCAGTGGTATCATTTAAGAAATAATTCTTTAAGATTGGACTATTTAGATTAATTTTGATATATTTCTATTGGAAAAGAGATTTCTGAAGTAATAGTGTTTAAGTTTTATTCTGAAAAAAATAAATTTCATATTTCTGGGTTTAAAATAGAATCTGTGAATAAAGTGATCTTTTTCTCCTTCGCTTTTTAGTGGAATATTTCAGATTATTTTTTCCAAAGAGGAGAAACTATTGAAAAAGAATTAGATAAAGAAGAGGCAGCACAGCAAAAGCAGGCGGAAGAGAAAGGAGTGGTTTTAAATCGGCCATTCCATCCTGCGCCACCATTTGATTGCTTGTGGTTATGTCTTTACGCGAAATTGGGTGAACTGTGTGTGGACCCCCGGCCTGCTGTCAGGAAGAGTGCAGGGCAAACTCTGTTCTCGACAATCGGTGCACATGGGACTTTATTACAACATTCAACGTGGCACACTGTTATTTGGAAGGTATTGTAGAATAGCTTGAGTTATCAGCTCTTAATTAAGACACGCTTATATACTTTTTCAATTAAACTTGTTTCTATTAATTTTTAAAGAATTTCTGTGTATTTGTGCATTTGGCAAAACAGAAAATGTAAGCTTTCTCAAATTTTTAATTGCACCTCACACAGAACAAATTAAATATTAAAAGCCTCAGCTTTTTATCTCTGTCTTTGATTTCTGCCTTTGCTCTTCCCTTCCCCCCTCATTTTCCCCAGCAGTTAAAATCAGTAATTGCTAAGCCACTGCATGTAATTCAAATATAATATAATCAAATGAAAATTTTATAAATAGAAGAATGTCAACAATAGTAAAATTTACTTGCAGACTCATCAAAAGAAAGACTCCAATTTGTAAATTCTACGTGTTTGTTCATTAAGTATGCAGTTTCACTTCTTAATTTTCCATTTTTATTTTCTTTTTAAAACTTTCTTACAAAGCCATCAGCTTAATAGCGAGCATCCCCTCTTTCCTAAAAGACTCCCTCACATTTTGTTTAATCTGTCCCACTTTAATAAAACTTCTATTTATAATCCTTTTACTGCTTTTGTGAATTTTTGATATCAGTAAGTTTGACAATAGGCAGCATGATAAACTTAATTGTATTTAAGAATATGCTTATTTTAATAAAAAGACCCCAAAGTGTCTTCTTAAAAACTAACAATGCATGTTCCCTAATACAGATAATTAGAAGCCCTGTTCCCTCCTGTGTCATCTGTTTCAACTCCATTCCCTGGCTTCTCCTCAGATCACAAACATACTTGAGTCCCTTACAGTTTTGAAAAACAAACTGACATTTTCTCTGATTCCTGTTTTCCTTTCAAGCAGCTTCATTGTTAATACCTTGCTTCCTAAATCTGAATTATTTTTTCTTTCTCACCTCTTCTGCATTCCCTTGCCCCTTGTAATTTGATACCCAGATCATTCTGCTTCAGTCTCTTAAACATTAGTGTATGGCAGAACCACCTAGAGGACTTGTTAAAGGACACATTGCTGAGTGAGCCATGGTCTCTAACCCCCTCAGAGTTCTTGATTTCTGCCCCCGCCCCCCGGCGTGGGAAATGAGAATTTGCGTCTCTGTTAAGCTCCTGGGTCATGCTGATGCTGCTGGTTCTGAGACCACAATTTTAGAACCATAGAAATTGTTCACAGGCTCTTCAGGTGGTCTTTTAATTGCCAGGTCTTTTGCCCTATGCTCAATCCTTATCCTACACATTGTTTTATAGCATTTAATATTGCTGATTGTTTTCTCCTTGAAACTTCTCTTGCTTTGGCTCCTTTTCCACAGCAGGCGTCTACTTCTCTATTCAACTTTTATTTTATTTTCTTGGCTTCTGTTCCTTTCCCTGAATCTATGTTTTAAATGTGAACATTCCCCAAGTCCCAGCCACTTCCTGCTTGATATTTTTCAAGCACCATCATCCAGTTTCGAAGCGTCAGTTGTAACCTCCATCCAGATGTTGCTCATAATTATTTTTTTGCCTGGATCCTTTTCTTTAGCTTCATTCCCTTCTTATACATTACCCCATAGATGCTCCATAGGCACCTCAACTCAGTAAGTCTTAGACAATATTCTATCCAATTTATTCTAATTTTTCATGTTCTGACCTTAAGGATAAACTTAAGAATATAAGGTTACTGGTTTCCTCTAATATATGGGGATTGATCAGACTGTCAGGGATAATTCTTTGTAACAATTTATAATCTCCTGTGCTGTTACTTAAACTATGTTATAAATACTTTTTATATGCATTTTTATAAATATTCAGGTTCTCTTTCATCTACTGGACCGAGTTCGAGAGTCTTCTACCACTGCAGACAAAGAAAAGATTGAGTCCGGAGGTGGCAATATTCTCATTCATCATTCAAGAGACACAGCAGAGAAGCAATGGGCTGAAACATGGGTTTTAACATTGGCCGGAGTGGCGAGAATCTTCAACACGAGAAGATATTTACTACAGCCTTTAGGTAGATACACATTATTTTCCTGAGTGTATAAGTAAATTATGTTAAAGGAAGTTTAGAAACAACAGAAGATTCTTCTAAAATTCATATACAGTGCTACTTCCCAAGAGTAATCCATCATAACTGCCAGTCTTTGTGTTGTGTGTGGTGTGTGTATGAGCATGCAGGTTTCCATTCGTTTCATTATAAAAATATGTAATGTGTATCCTACTGCCTGCCTTTCTAAGGGATATGGTGATGTGCCAGATGCCTCCATCTTTGCTATATTATGGGTATGAGGGAGGAATTACGGTTACATAAATACATACAAAATTCCTACAATGGTAAATGCTGCAAAGGAGCTTATAGTAGGTATTGACTAGGCCAGTGAGGTATATATAGGCTTCCCTGAGAAAGCAGTGTTTTACCTGCATAGTAGTTCATCAGGCAAGGGTAAGATGAATTGGAAAGAGCCTTAAGGGCAGAGAGAACATGTAAAAGAGATGGGAGAAGATTGAGGAGGTGGAGATGGTGAGGACTCTGGCATGTTTGAAAGTCTGGAATGAAGAGAACAAGGAAAAGTGTGATTCTAGATGAGGTTGTAGAGGTAGAGAGAGGCCAGACCATGCAACACTTGGTAGGTTAGGTTCAAAAGTTGACCTCATAATAAGAGCAGTGAAAACCACTGAAAGATTTTAATCTATGATGTGTTGAGATGTGATGTGATGTGATGTGATTAGACATGCGGTTGAGAAAGATCACTTTGTATGGTATATATGGAATGGAATGGAATGGCCACAGAGAAGAATGGTAGGATATACTATTAGGCTGGTGAGAAAGCTGTTGGGGGTGTAGGTAGATCAGTGCTTCTCAACCGGGGCCAATTTTGCCCAACCTCCTCTCTCCCCCACCGCAGGATATTTGGCAGTCTGGAGATGTTTTTTGGTGTCACAACTGGGGAGGGACATGCACTACTGGCTTCTCGGGGAGTAGAGACCAGGGATGCTGCTACACATCTTAAAATGCATAGGATAGCCCCTACAAGAAAGAATTATCCAACCCTAAATGTCAGTAGTACTGAGATTGAGAAACTCTGGTGTAGATTTATAATACTTTCAGTTCTGATGGTGGTGATGTGGGTGGTTGAGAAGAGTGAACAGAAATACTTTCGTGTGTAATTGTGAGCAAGCTGTCCATATCTTTGTTTTAATTTATTATATTATGTTCGTCTTTCTCCCCCTTTTTAAGTTAAAGCCTAAGCATATTTACTCTTTTCAGGCATTTTTGTGTGGTATTATTCATCACGTTCACTTTAGGGCCCTTCTCTCTATTATTAATGATTTTAATTCACATTGTTAGTACCTAAGCATTTTTTGTTTTTTTTTTTTTTTTAGTTCTGTAGGAACTTAAGCAGAAAAATAAAGCAAATAAACTTTAAAGTGTCTAAAAAAATTTGATCACTTTTACGGTGATAATTTTTTTTTTCTCTTCCTAATATAGGAGATTTTCCAAGAGCGTGGGATGTTCTTCTTGACCATATACAATCAGCAGCACTCAGCAAAAACAATGAAGTCTCTCTGGCTGCACTGAAAAGCTTCCAGGAAATTTTACAGATTGTGTCCCCCGTCAGAGACTCAGATAAGCCTGAGACGCCACCTGCAGTTAATGTACCTGTGCCTGTCCTTATAGGGTCCATATCAGGCCCTGGCCTGAACAGGCCGTTTATAAGAACAGATTCCATCGGAGAAAGACTTAGAAGATACAGTGGTTCTGAGCCACCCATAGTTACGGATGAGCTTGAAGATTTGAATCTCTGGTGGGCTGCGTGGAATACCTGGTATAGGATTGGATCTGAAAGCACTAAGCCTCCTATTACTTTTGATAAACTAACATTCATTCCTAGCCAGCCTTTTCTTACAGCTTTAATTCAGATATTTCCAGCTCTCTACCAACACATAAAAACTGGTTTCAACATGGATGACTTGCAGAAGTTGGGAGTCATATTGCACAGTGCGGTTTCCGTCCCTATAAGTTCAGATGCATCCCCTTTCATTCTTCCATCTTATACTGAAGCAGTTTTGACAAGTTTACAGGAAGCTGTACTTACAGCTTTAGATGTTCTCCAAAAGGTAACACAAATTTAGTGGCTATCTAAGCTATAATGCATATGGTTCTCTGGAATTTTTTTTACTTTGCTGTACATTTTGGGGAGTCAATTCTGGACCATCAAGGTTGGTATATATGTATACTTTGGGATAAATTCAGGGTCGTAAAGATCCAGTTATCTTTAATACTTGTGTTTTTCTAATATATTTAAAAAGATAACCCAGGTTTGTCTTGAGAGTCTAAGAAACTGCCTGCATTCTCTTGTTTCTATTCACCAGCATTTTTGGTTTGTTCATGCAACACTTCACAAGAGGATATGCTTTTTGGAATGGCAACTTTAGTAAAGTACTTCTATAATTAGAAAGTTACTAAGCAGTAGGATTATATTTTGGATTTTTTTCATCTGTACTTAAATTAGCTCTTCAATTGTTGGAAGCCTATATTTTTTAAAAAAGAAGGTAAGAGTAAGTTTATAAAGTATTTTTCTCACAGACATTTTTTAAAAATATTTTTTTACCTATGTGTGTTTTGTTCCTGCAAAAAAAAAAATTATTAAACAGACCGAAAAATTATTAAGCAGAGTCTAAGCAAGCAAGACCAGATCAAAAAGAATTCTTTAAACTATCAAGGTAATTGCTAGCACAATTCACAACAACCAAAATGCTAAACAAACAGATAAAAATAGCCAGCAATCCTAACAAAGTAGCTATGACATTCCAACAAAATTAGAATGAAACTTGATTCTGATTACACACGTTTTCAGTAGTCATTTGTGTACTGCAGATTCTGTTTTCTGTTTAAGTGATTGCATTATGTCCAACTGGAATGATGAGAACTTTCATAGTAAGAATGGTGGTTTCTGCTATAGCATAATACCTCTTAACTGACTGAAGGAAGTCTAGCTGAGCAGTAATTCCTTGGTCTCTTTAACTCTAGTTACACCTGCAGAGGAACAAATTGTGTAGAAACTTGTAAGTACAAGAGAATCTGGCACTTAAGAAATTTATTGTAGGGATATCAGTTTTCCACAATTGAAATCAAAGGACATACTTCTATTTTCAGTAGCGGGGTTGGGGGGAAGGTAGCCTGTCAGTAATTACTTTTTTCTCCTTGATTGACTGTGAATATAAATTGCTTATAGACTGCTGTCAAGGGAGTGGAAAAGTTATTCTATCAGAAAAAGAAAGCATAAGCCTTGTGGGCTGCCCGTAATCGAGAACTCTCACTCAGGTGTTTAATTCAAGTCTTTGTATATGTGTAGAGCATTATAAACAAACGAAAAACACAGATCCCAAAAATTCATTTAAAGGAATGAAAGTATATAATTTTATTTTTTAAACAAACTTCTGCTTTAGCAGTAAGAGAACAAATAGAGTCATTCACTCCAACTACTAGGAGTTTATTCTGAGCTTTTAATGAAAGCAACGTATATCTTTAATTGGAACCTTAGAAAGCTTTATTGTTGTTCATTTATACCAGTTGATATCATTTTGCATTACTAATTTTCACTCTAACCATTGTGTATTACTTATATGATTATCTAAATGGTATTTCATAACGCTTAAATGTGGTTCAGTCATTTGAGGTCTTTAATATTTCCTAAGAGAAAAATTAGCATATTTCATTATTAATAAGAGTGTTTTTGTATTTCCCCCCACAGTGTCAGAAAATTTTTTCACCAGCAAAATTTACTTGCTTTGGGACTATTTTTATACTAATAAGCTATTCTGCAAAACATCTTATTGATTAAAAGCTATTTTCTTTCCTAAAGGAAAAACTCATTTCTGATTTCATGTTTACCCTTACATTGTTTACGGCTTAAGGGTCATAATCTTCTCCTCTTGGTTTTCATGTCACTAGTTCTCAGCCAAAATGACTTAGTCATGTATGCTTATTTATCTATTTATTTATTTTGGCCAAGATATTTTGACATACATGGGGGACCTGAGAATTTGATTATCTGCTTTCCCTAAGTTCTGAGATCAGGCGACTGCATCTGTCTGTTTATTGCTAAACTTCCTAAAGTCAGATGTCTGGATACGTTACCTGCCTCCACGATCAAGGCTGCTGGAGCGGTACTGCAGGAGACACTATCACATAGTGTGTGAACGGTGCCCTTGGAGGTGTGCAGTGAAGCTGTCTTCCACTTAATAGGGGCGAGTTTCTGACTCTCTCTTGACTTCAGCCTCCTCATCTATAAAAGGAAAATAATGTCTACAGCTTTTTTCCCCCTGTTAAATGGGATAGTATTTGTAAGGCATTTAGTGCTCGGCACAGTTAAACACTCACTAAATGTTAGCTGTTACCATCTTCAGTATCAAGTTCTCTGTCAAAGACGTAGTACATGGTAGGCATGGAATGAATTATTTTAAATGACTTAAGAAGAGAAACCTTGAACCTAGAGGTTGGATATCCAGTTCTTTTCTTGTTTACACATACACAGTTTTCAAGCACTAGTAGGAAATCCTGTCCAGGTTGCTTATCAGCTTTTAGCTTTTGGACCAAAATCTGTTACTAGATTTGTACTATAGGCTTTTCTGAAAAACTTCGGAATACAAAAGAAAAGCGAATAATAACCTTCTTAGATAAAGTTTGTTTAAAAAAGAAAAAAATCAGTCCCGTATTATGCATTTAAGATCCCAGAATTCAACCATAACACTATTACTATGTTTTTTGTTTGGGTTTTTTTTTTTAAGTAAAGGGCCACTAAAGATAAAAACATATAGTCCAGGTCACTATTTGCTGGTAAGGTATTTCCAGAAAAATTTTGATACTTAGTTTTTTTAGGTATTCACACAGACTTTTTCCTTCTTTCTTTTTTTCTTTTTTTAAATGGAGGTACTAGGGATTGAATCCAGGACCTTGTTCATGCTAAACGTGCACTCTACCACTGAGCTAGACCCTTGTCCCTTCTTTCTTTCTCTCTCTCTCTCTTTTTTTTTTAGTCATTGCAAATAAAAGAATTCACTAAGGATAATTATCTCTTTTCCACAGTAATTGCTACTTGTTTACTTCTAAGAGTTAAGACTCAACAAGAAGTTAATAAAGAAAACTGTATAACTATTAGAAGTAGTTAGTAGAATTTTTTTAGGCTGTGTACCTTTCAAGTTCTCCATTCACTGCTTCTGAGAAAAGTAACTAAATATTGAGAGATGGTATTAGATATGTTTGTTCTAATTTTTCACATAATCATAGGATGATCTGCTGTAGGGATGGGCAGTGCTTTGCTTACCTACTTTATATCTCAAGATAGTTTTATCTAAAACTTGTAAAGCTAAATGGCTACCTCTTCTCTGAGGGAACATAAAACTAGTCTATTATCTGATAGGTTAAAAAAACCCATGATCGCAGGAAAATAAAATGTACTTTTAGAAGAAATTCCTTAAAATTTTGAAGTGCTCTGAATTTATATTTGAAGGTACCTCAAGTGTAGAATGATCATGCTTTTTGTTTTGTAAAGCACACATATATTTTAGATACTTCATAAATAATATCATTAAATATTTTTCCTTCAGAGAAAAACAAATACCAAAAAGGGAAATATGAAAGAATGGGAGGAGAAAAATACATTTGTGGCTAGAATAAAATAAAGACATAAGATTTATTTTAGATACTTTCAACATAATGGAAGTAATTAAAATTTGCAGTGTCAGAATATGTATTTTATTCTTTGTTTTATGAAATTATATGTAGCTGTAAGTTTATTCCTATTTAAAAATTTTTTTGTTTTAAATGAAGTCTATATATTCAGATATATTAGACACTAAATATGCACTGCCTTGTTAAAAATTAATGTATACATCTCTTTTAGAAACAAATTTTCATTCAAGACTTATTTTCCCAACTGTAATGAACATGATTATTTGTTAAACTCTGTAGACCAGGCATGATGCAGGAATCAGCTGTCGTTTCAATGAACTGATGTCATCACTTAAGTAGAAGTCAATACCATGTTGGTCAGTGAAAAGCATTCTTAATGGTCTACTGGCTATATTACTGAATAAGTGATTAAATTGTGGAACCTCAGAACTGCTTGGGACCAACTTCTCTTTAAAACCTTGCCCTTTATTTAGTCTACTAAGTAATAAGTCATACTTATAATTAGAAAATATTTTTAGCTGATTAATATATTTAGCCTACACTCCATTCAATAACAGTTTAAAATAGCTTAAATGTCTTTCAGGTCTTATAAAAATTGTATAATAGTTAAACATAAAATAGGATAATCTTTAAGATTGTTTGGTTAAACAAATGAATATGCAGTAAATAACTTAATGGAGTTCAGATTATGCATTCTACTGTTCATGTATTGTTTTTATAGGCCATCTGTGTAGGACCAGAAAACATGCAGATAATGTATCCAGCTATATTTGACCAGTTACTGGCATTTGTAGAATTTTCCTGTAAACCTCCACAGTATGGACAGCTGGAAACAAAACACATTGCAAATGCAAAATATAATCAGGTAATTTACTATGAATTTTATTTACTCTGTAAAATTTCATGGCTTATAGTCAGTTCCACTTAAGATGAACTTTGGTTATCTCGGGAGTTTTTCATTCACAAACTTTCATATGTTTGTTAACATTTTAAGCTGGAAAAAGAAAAACACTATTTGGAAGACCTTTTCTGGGTTCCTTTTTTATTCTTTATTACTTTCCTTTCCCAAGTAGTTCTCTATGAAGTTTGACCTTTCATGTTACTCTGCAGTACATCTTTCTTCAAAGTTCCTTTCTTGGAGTCCCCATCCCACTAAAAAATGGTTCTCCATCCCTAAGCCAAATCTTACCTAAAATAGATACCTGTAATACAAAATGAAGAAATCTTTGTATACTAAATAAGGAATTGTCTACTACTGGTGTGAAATTTAGTTGGATTTTACATAAAAGATTTTTATAGCCATAATTGGCAAATTTTAACTTTGTTTTGGCTTAGGGGAAAAGTAAATTTCTGAATGCATGCACATGCTGATTTTGTTCACTCAACATAAAAATTATCATTTTACATGGTCCGAAAAGTAGTTTTAATGTGTATTAACTTTTCTCATTCTATTTGTCTTGCAACACAATGGAATCACAATAGATCCAACTATTTGCACCGGTGAGTTAAATTTCCTAAAATTGTCCTAACCTATTGACAACAAATAGAATACATCTTTCCCAGTTCTTGATAGAATGCTCTATGTACTTTTTCCTATAGTTTTAATTTTTGCCTGGCTGAAAATTACTCTTCCATGAAGTACGTATCTCTTTGAAAACTTTGCATGTAATATAATCTGACCTCAAACCAAGGCCTGAACATTAAGACAAAGAAGCTTTCTCTGAAAACAATATGATTTCATTTAATCTCATTTTTATTTTAACTCTATGTGAAAATATTACTTTCTAGGCCGAATGGGTAGCCTTGAATTATGTACCATTTGCTGAAAGGTCTTTAGAAGTAGTTGTGGATTTATACCAAAAAACAGCCTGTCACAAAGCAGTGGTGAATGAGAAAGTACTCCAGAATATTATTAAGGTATCTTTTTTATTTTAATTTCTATACTTTCATTTAATGATGACAGTATTATTGAAATTACTCTTTAGGTAATAATATATTATCATACATTGAGATGAATGGAAAGTTCAATTTATGTTACTACTTATAGTGACTTTTCTCCAATAATCATGGATATTATTTAGGAAGCTATTTTTCTAAAGCATGAGGTTTCTTTAATGAAAAATATTTTAAAGTAAGCATGCATTCGATTTTGTACAATTCTTAAATTTTGCCGCATAAGACAATGAGGGTCCTGTTTCTTAGGACAGTACTGCTCATACCTTGAGGGTGATGAGCATTCAGGAAAGGTTCACAAGGCAGCCTGTGGATTTAACTGATCGTGCATACTGACTTGCTTTTTAAAGGCAGTTCCTCAGTGCCTGGGCAGTCATTAAAATTCATCTCTTGCTGACTGTCCTCTTCCTCCAAAGGTTATTTTCTGCTTTTTCTTCTGTTTTGAAGGACAAACCTAAACCTTGCTCTTCCTCTAGTATGTAGATGTGCCTTTGATTTCCTAGACGATTACAGGCTGATTGAACTCTCTTCCCCTCAAGGAAGAAGGCGTCTCTCTTTTCCGAGGCTCATCCCTCTCTTTGTGTTCATCCTTTTCTCTTCCCACCTTTCTTTGTTGGTGATTCTTTCATTTTTCTTTCAGCCTCTTATACTTTATCCTGGAAAGATGATTAAGCCTTTTATACAAGAACTTTCTACTCAAATTGCCATTCTCTTTCAGCTTTCCTTTGCTTCCAAACTCCTTTAAACAGCTTGTGACCTTCACATAGCCACCACTTCCTCTAACCTGTTGCATGTTGCTTCAAGGCCATATTGTGCTATAGAAACTACTTACTTGAAGTTACAGAAGACCAAATTGTCAAATCCTAAACCCTTTTCTAATTCTTTATCTTCCCTGTAACATGGGACTGTTCCTGCCTTCTTAAAATTCTTTCTTCCTTTGATTTTTGCCATACTTCTTTCTACCCCTCACCACTCATCCCATCAAAACTGTCCTCTCCTCCTTTATTGAGAATTATTTTTAAGCACTTCTGTTGCCAGGTACCAACAAGTAGTAGAGATTTAAAATGAATAAATAATCCATATACTTAATAATTCAATAAGGATCTATAAAAAGGCAAACAAATAACAATGCAGTGTATTAAGTACTAAGTGAAGACCACAGAGCGGAGGCAGCTTTGTGTTCAGATAGACCTGGCTTAGCATAGTGCACTGCTGTGTACCTGCTTCTCTGTGATTTTTGGTCAAATGAACCTGAGAGTTTTTCTCATCTGTAAAAGAAGAAGAGTACCAATACTGCTTTCATATCAATCTTTAAAAAAACTAGTTGAGATACAGCATTTAATGATACTTGCTAAGTAGTCAATTCTGGATAAAAAGATCTCCCCCTCCCCTTCTTCCCCAAATAGACAAGGAAATAACTTAACTGCCTAGGGGATCTTGGCAGGGAATAACAGAAGTAACACTTGAAGAAGGAGTAATAGAGTTTGCTAGGTTAAAAGGGAGAGGGAAGTATTCTAGATAGATTAAGCAATGTAAAAGATGAGATCATGATATATTTTCAAAGAAATATTGAGAAATCCCATTTAGGGAGGGTGATAGGGTTTGGAATAGTTCTGAAAAAGTGGCTGTGGGTCTTAAAAGCCATCAGAAAGAATCAGACATTGTTCTTTAACTATTGAAGGATTGAGCATGGAGGAGTGACGTGAATCAGTTTGTATTTTTAAAGGAATTAAATAATCCCTTTTCTGTATTCCTAAACACTTTGTTGATGCCACTTACTACATTGTATTGTGGTTAATTTGACAAGGCTCTTTCTTTCTGTGAGCTTTGTGACAGCAAGAACTGAGTTTCCCAGTTCCACGTACATTTATGAATATATACTATATGCCCATCCTTGTATTAGTTACTTAAATATTAAAAAAAATGTATAAATCATATATCTCTGCTGGATTTAACATTCCCTTGATTTCAGTAAAATATTAATTGCAGTAGTAAACCATCCATTTCTTTTATCTAATCTTGAGTTATAGGGTGTTAGTTTAGAGTGGCCAGTGTATAATTTATTATTCTTTTGTTTGCATGTGATATACATTCAAGCTGTGACCAGCTTTAACAAAAAAGGTCATTTATTGGCATGCTTAGTTGGAAAATTCGGAGATAGAGGAAGGGCTTAATGACTTGTTGATCCAGTGGTTCAGCGCCATCACCAAAAACCAAGTTTTTCTCTCCCTCTTGTGCTTTTTAAGGGTTCACTGCATCCTAACTACATTTCTCCTCATAGTTGTAGGCTAATAAAGGAATTAGATGTCAGTAGCAGGGTTGTGTGTGTGTGTGTGTGTGTGTGTGTGTGTGTGTGTATCACATTTTCTTCTTAAGCTCCTAAAATTAACCTTAGGTGACCCAGCTTTGGTCCCATGCCCAGTCTTGCACCAGTGATTATGGCCAGAGAAATGGGGTAGTTCGATTGGCTTAACAAGCTAATCATCCCCTTACCCTAATTCCCAACTGGATGGGGGGAAGGGGAAGGAGTAAATAGACCCTGGGTGGGCTAACTACTTGATGGTGGAGGCCCATTTCATGCTAATATGTAATGGTTCATATGTTCACCATGCGACTGTGTAATACTAGTTTGTGTGGATGATGCTGAAATTAGGTTTTATGTTCACTCCATAACACTGAAATATGAAAATGTATCTCTTCTACTTTTTCTTTTTCTCATTTATATAAAAACAGAATTCTCACTCTAATGCAAATTACCAGATGATATGCTGAAACTATTTATTGATGGCGTGCTTGGATAGCTCACTGTGGTAGTTTGGTCAGTCTAGTCTTCTAGTTGGTGGATAGAACTATGACCAGAGAAATTCATTCTGAACCACCAAATTAGTTCTTTAATGATTAACAGCAACCTGTCTCAAAAGTTGACCAATTAAAAAGTAAGTCTCAATATTTTAGTCACCATCCGTAGTTCAGATGCTCTGCTGCTGTATCCTCAAAGGTTAAAGATAAACTGTGTTCTTGAATTACTGATTTTTTTTCAAATATTTGGAAAAGGAAAAAAGTATATTAAAATGTTAGTGTAGAATATAAAATTCAAGGAATTTTAAAGGTAAAACATAAGACTTCAAAGTAGTGATGCCCTAGGCCATGTTTACCTAACCATTAGTGAAAAAATGTAAGCAGTATTGACCTCTCTTTGATGGGAGAAACCCCATCGGTCAAGATTATTTTCTGCTAGGAGAACTATGGCGGAATGCTCTAATTTTATAACATCAAGTTAGAGAAGCTGCAAAATTGTAAGTTTCCTTACTGTTATTCTTACTCTTATTCTAGTTTTTTATGATGAGAAACTGGGGTTCAAAAAGGTTATTACTCATTCAGGGTCATTGTTTATCAAATGGAAATAGGACTTAAAAGCACATCTTTCTAGGCAATATGATTTGAAGACCCTGTCTAAGAATTGGTCTTTCTAGAAAATAATATCCTTTTTAATATGAAAATACCTATGTTATGTTTTTCTCTCAGCAGTAGTTTTTTTCTTTTTTTTAAGTAAAGTTGTATGTGTATGTTTTAATTAGTACCTATCTTAAACTGTCTTTATTTTCACAGACCCTTAGGGTTCCTCTCAGTTTGAAGTATTCCTGCCCTTCTGAAAGCACATGGAAACTCGCAGTGTCTTCTCTCCTCAAAGTTCTTTCTATTGGGTTACCAGTTGCCCGGCAGCATGCTTCTTCCGGAAAATTTGACAGTATGTGGCCAGAACTAGCCAACACTTTTGAAGACTTTCTCTTTACTAAAAGGTCAGCTTATTCATTTTTACAATTAAGACAGTCTTTCAAGAAATGCAAATTATACCTGTAATTGCCCTAAAAATAGTTTGTCATTATTCATTAGCAAAGTATTTGATTATCAGGATTACTGGGTTGTATACAAAGCATAACGGGATTAGGCGTGTATCCCCTAGGTACATTATCTGTGAGCGGTGGAGGGTTTTGCTTTTCTTCAGTGTTGTGGGTTGTAAGACTGGAATCTATGTATAAGACCACAGGAATTCATCATAATTGAGGAGCCATGGTTTTAACTTGATGAAGATAAGAGGATCCATTTTAAAAATCTGGTGCCCATTTGGCATTACAAGAGGAAAACAATTTGAGAAAATTGAATTTTTTCATGAAAAGTAAGATCATTAGTAATAATGAGCAGCTCTTTGGGATGTTCCACTTTTGCGAAAAAGAATGGAACTTTCATTGTATAATCTCCAACTGAGGGCATATCTTAAGGATGCTATTTTGACCCTTCTCTGAATCAGAGTAGGATAGTTGGAACATGGACTAAATTTTTGAATGAGCAACCTGCTGCAGTCCATCTAGAGCTGTGCTATCTAATACAGTAGTCACTAGCTACAGTTAATTTAAAATTTTAATTAAGTCAGCTTAAAAATTCAGTTCTTCAGTCTCACTAGCCATGTTTCAACATTGCCGTGTGTGGCTAGCAGTAGCCATAGTGGACAGTGCAGATCATTGAACATTTCCATTATCAGAGAAAGTTCCTTTGGGCAACACTGATCTAAAATGTGCCATTTTATTAAAGATGGACTTACCAGTAATAGCTGTGATAGTCGGGTAGTCTTCAGTAGACTCCTACAATCTAATTTTCCTTTGTACTGTAGTGAAATTCTGTGAAAAATTTTTCTATTTTTGTATCCATTAATCATTTTTTAAAGCTATAGAATGATGAATATGTCATGTACTGCTATGTAACTGTTTTAAATCGTTAGTTTAAAAGCACTTAAATTATAAATTTGCTATACTTGAAGGAAAAAAACCTACATTGGCACATTGATAATGATCAGATGAGCCCATAACAGAATGATTTAACTGAAGAAGAGATTCTGTCTGCCTTTCTAACGTGGTTTAGTTATTTAGTAAAGAAAAGTTGTAGGGTGCAGAAGGTTAACTTGCAGTTTCTCTACAAAAGCTTATCTGATATTTCAGAACTGAGAATAATGACATGTGATCCTAATTTCTGTTTCTGTAAATCATCAGATTTTGTTTTGCTTTTATTCTTATATACTTCTCCGCTCTAGAAAGTTTATTGATACCAATGCAAGAACACTCTTTTTATTTACAGGAAAATCATCGTAACTTACAAAGCATATTCAAACAAATTGTTTTCATCTTTAAAATAACCCTGAATATTTGAGTTCCTTTATGGACTTTGTTGCCTAAGTCACTGTGTTAATTTGTATGAAGCAAACAGATGTAGAAATTTAAACTTTTCTTTTTCTTTCTCAATTATTTGTCTGTATAAGCATGTTTCCCTATTAATAAATTGAATAAGCTTAGATCAGGCTTTTTGCTATGATTGAAACATCTTGAAGAATTTCTTTTCCTGTGGCTGTCTTTCCACCATCTTCCTTATTCTCAAGTTTCTTACTGAACATTCTTCATTTTCCAAACTTTGTTCTTGTTTTATTAAATTCAGTCTCTTAAGTACTTTTATGTGTACAAGAAAGTAGATAGGGAAACAAAGGCCTAATACTAGGTAGTTTACCTTTTATGTAATTTTGTATTAATGCAGTTACAGTATAATTTCATTACAGTCTTTTGCCTAAGGCCCTACACACATTAAAGGTTTGAGTATACTGGGGATGTTGAAAAATCACGTTGTTTAAGACACAGTTAACATAGTGGCTGAGAGCCCTGTCTTGGGAATCAAACTACTTGGATTCAAATCCCAGCCATCTAACTTTGGATCTGTGTATTTTGGATGAGTTATGTATCTTACAGTGACACATTTTCCTCATCTGCTAAAGAGGAATAATAATACTACCTAAATCATAGGGCTATTGTGAGGATTAAGTCACTTAAGTTAAATGATTGCTTATAATAGTTCCTGGAATGTATATGCTTTTATTAAAATGCTTGCTACCACCGTTATCCTCATTATCGTTACTTCTTTCACTTAAGAGAAACTGACATTATCCATATCCTTTCCCATGAAACAGCCGTATTTTATTGTTTTTATTTTTATTTTTGTTTGTTTATTGGGGGGAGGTAATTGAACCCAGGACCTCATGCATGCTAAGCACGCACTCTCCCACTGAGCTATACATTTCCCCCAAACAGCCATATTTTAAACTAAAAATTTACCAACCAAAACTCTTAAGTAACTGGGACTAGGAAATTTACCTCTAAATTTAGAGTTGTTTTTAATGATTAGGAAAAAAATTAAGGTACTAAATTCTAGTATCAAGTGACAGAATCAGTGTTCTAAGTTGTGGTTATTCTAGTTACAGATTTAAGTCTTCTACTCTATGAAGAAATAGAAAGATACCCTGTATTGAGAGCCAGGAAACCTGTGGCCTGCTCTTGACTCTGCCACCTACTTTCTGTTCACCTTGGTCATTTCCTCTCACTAGGCATCATTTTTTTAAATTGTAAGACCTAAATTCATTGATTTGACTAGTCGTAGAAGTCTGCAATTATTTTACGTATTTTGACTTAATATTTTAATTAGTGTTTTTAATTGAATAGCTTATGTGGATAAAGCCAGTTTACTTTTTATTTCATAGTCCAAGAATACTTTAAGGCTCATATGGAATGCTTTCATTGGTTAATTGATACTAAAAATGCAGTGCTCACTAAGAGAACTTAAAAACCATGCACATTTTCACAGTTTCATGACAAGATTTTGTCTTTGTTTTTGTTTTCCAAATACTTATTACTTTGGAAAATCACAAACTGTTGGACTTTAAATTTTACTTTATGCCACATGTATACTGTGTTCTATAATTGAAGTCTGTAGTAGTAGTGTTTGAACAGTAGGAAGAGTGTTTCGGGATTTTGATCGAAATAGAAAGACTTAGGTTTTTGTTTTTGTTTTAAGACTTAGGTTTTTAAATAATACTAGTATTTGAGTGTTTTTTGTTTTACACTGGAAAATGTATAAGTCTTTTAATCTAATTACTATTACTCTAAGACTCCGTGAATAACCGTATCTTTCTCTGTGGTATTTTCCAACTGTTTATGGTTTGCAGCTGCTTTCACAAAGCAGTACAAAATAACAAAGAAAACAAATAAAAGCAAAATCAACTAGAAGAAAAGAAAGGCTTTGGACATCATTGAGGGCTATCATCAGTGGATGAATTGTTAAAATGAGTGAAAGAAAAACAGTTAAAAATGAGAAGCATAAGGACAGTAATCTGGTGGACACTTGATATTTATTAGGAATTCATTCAGCTGCCCTTTAAGTACCAAAACATGGTACTTGTCCTCTAGAAGACACGTATTTCCACTTGTCCTCTAGTGGAAATGCGTACAATCAGTGGTCCCTGGAACTTAAGTTAAAAACCACAGTACTACCCAAAAGAATTGAAATGAAACATGTTCACACAAAAACTTGTACACTGATGTTTATAAGCAGCATTATTATAATAGCCAAAAAATGAAAACAATCCAAATGTTCATCAGCTGATGAATGGATAAATTAAATGTGGTATATACATCCATACAGTGGAATATTCAGCCATAAAAATGAATGAAATACTGATGCATGTTACAACATAGATGAATCTTGAAAATGTTATGCTAAGTGAAAGAACCCAGACACAAAAGGCCATATGTTATATGATCTCATTTATGTGATATATCCAGAATAGCAGATCCCTAGAGACAGAGAATAGATTAATGGTTACCAGAGGTGGGAGGAGGGTAGAGTGGGGAGTGACAACTAATGAGTTTTTTTTGGGGGTGATGAAAATATTCTAGAATTAGAAATGATGATCATTGCACAACTTTGTAAATATACTAAAAAGCACTGAATTATACAATTTAAAAGTGAATTTTTTGGTGAAAGAATTATATCTCAAAAAATAATTTTAATGTAACATACAGAGAGAACTGATGAAAAATACAAATAATATTTATCAGTTTGAAGTCTCTTTTATTTCGAATAAAAATTCGTAAATTAAAAAAAATCACTGAATACTATACTGCTCAAACTTAGAGAATTTAAGGATCTTTTATGGCCCATTTGTACCTACAATATTGACTATTTCCCTTTAATTTATAGGTAAATTCTGCTAATAATCTGCGTTTTTTTTAAAGCTCAATTTTTTTGATATGCTTTCAGTATCTAGTAAGGATACTAACTATAAATTAAAATAAATAACCAATAGGTTGGGATCTGAGGTGAGAGTATTCAACCTGTGCACAATCGAATAAATTCCCGATTTTTGATCATTAGGATTAGGAGGAGGGAACCTATCAGTTTTTAGCTTTGTATGCTACTCTCTTCCCTCATTATATTTTAAAAATGCAGTTCAGTGTTTCTGATATATGATCCCAATGATTAATATCATTACTGTATGTTCTTAATAAACTTTTTTTTAATTGGTAGTTAGCCTGTTGGTATTTGTCTATGTATGTGTGTGTATTTTAATACATGTGATTAGATAAACTAAGTAATACCATATAGAGCAAAAACCACTTTAGATACAAAACTGTTTACTATACCTCTAAATCTAAATGTGATAATACTGTTTTTACATTTATAACTTTTATAAAAGATAAGAACCTAGGCTCAAATATTATATAAGTCTCGGTTTAAATTGTGGCCTTGTCATTTATTTGCAGTGTGTTCTTGCTCATATTACTCGCTACATCTGAAGCTTCAGTTTCCTCTTCTGTCAATTACATGATAATACGTGTGGTTACTGTGGGAACGTGAGAGATAATACACATAAAACTGTTAATGCAGTGGCTTCATCTCTGATTTTTCCTGTCATCATTATTGCAATAATCATCACCATTCTATTCTCAGCTATTTTTGAGTGCTTAATATTTCACTGTTTCATGAATCTAATAGCACTTTACTGCTCATTCTTAAGAGCCACAGGGTCTAGAATTCACTTTGGTTTTCTCAGAACTGTTGATTTATTCTGATCTTGTTGGAATAATTTTCTACTTTAGAAAGTCTGAATCAGCCCTCTTCAGATGTTCTCGGTCTTTTATTGTAAAGATACATAACATATCGTATTTATTACAAACTAATGGTTAATGGGCTGTCTCTGAGTGAATAATACAGCATCTTGACCAAGGCTCTGTTAAATCACTGGCAGAATAAGTGAATTCAGATTTTGTCACAGTGGTAATTTTTGCTGTAACTCCAGATGATAATATGTTTTCCTTGTTTTTCATTCATAGTACTGAAAGAAGTTTAGCTCTTCAGATTTTATTTTGTTCATGATTGGACCAACTATTTTTGTAGCTAGAATTTTATGTTTGTGATTAGCTTAGTCATTTATACTAATTACTTTAATTAAAAATACTATTCTTTTAAATAAATGATAATATTCCTAACTTGGGTGAGAAAATATATTTTTTTGAAATTTGAATCTGTTTGTTTATTTTCTGTTTGTATTTCCAGGAAGTATTTTACCTTTATAAATGAAGTTTTCTGTTTATTTTTTAGCATACCTCCAGATAACCTCTCTATTCAAGAATTTCAAAGAAACGAAAGTATTGATGTTGAGGTAAGGAACCTATTTAAAACATTTTCCTGTGACTATTTCTGAAAACCAAATAGTTGAAATGTTGAAACTGTAAAGTTGCTAAAATAAAGTAATAGGCTGAGCTTGAACCTAAAAGCATTAAAACTCTCAGAAAGGTTAAAGTTTAATTTTTAAAGCACTTGACATTTTAAAAATGACTTTCTTACAGCTCTGTGCTTTGTGCATGTTGTGTAGATACTAGTTATGTCCATTTAATAATTTTAAAAAGCAGTTGATTTAGTAAAATAAATCCATCAGTCAGTGAACATGCATTTGAGAGCCTACTTTACAGTTTGACAAATCAAATGTTTGTAGTTCAAATTAATCAATAAGTTGCTTAGAATTTTCTATTTTAACCAAATGTAGAAGCAAATAAGTGTTTTTTAAAGAATATATTTTGCTGATATAAATGGAATTTAAAGAAGTAGTTGACTGTGGGTTTTTTTATTGGGGGGTTGCTTTAAATTTTTTTCCTTTGAAGTAGGATCGGGGACCTTTAAATAAGTCAAATTAATTATTAAATAAAGTGTACATGAAAAGCATAAATATCATACATAGATGCTAAATATTGCCTTTTGTCCCATTGCTATATTAACTCTTATAAACTCTGCTTCAGACTTTTCTTCTTTTCCTGCAAAAGTCAAAATGACACATTATATGTAAGAAATAAACTATTTAACAAAAATGAATATAACTTTACTTCCTCTTAATAACGCATTTTTATGGTTCTAAAAGGTGATTTAAGTCTTATTCTTAACCCTGTTTTGGATATTTTACTCTAATATGGATACATTTCATATACTGACTTTTTCTCTAGAAGTCTCTTTGCTTTTATGGTGTTGAAGATCAAAATTTGTTAAGGTTGTTGTATAGTAAACAGTTTATAGTATTGACTATTTTGTAATAAAGTTATTTACTAAAGCAGATGAGGGGAACAGACTGATTATCCTGCATGTTAACATTAAAATTCTTATGTAGTTCTATTAAGATTCTTTAACTGATTTTCCTGTAAAATAAAATTTAAATTTTACTCTAGAAATGATCATTTACATCAGTCTCTTTTGAGAGAAAAAAAATGCCTTTGAATTTGCCTCTTTGCTTTTAGGTAGTTCAGCTTATCAGCACTGAGATACTGCCTTATGCCAATTTTATTCCTAAGGAATTTGTTGGTCAAATAATGACTATGCTTAATAAGGGCTCAATACATTCTCAGTCGTCTTCATTTACAGGTATGTTATTTCAGTGATTTTTTTTTTAAAATGTTAGTAAGTATTGAAATACTTTTGAAGAAGCTAACTGTAGAAATATTTACCCCTACGACTATGGTAAATGTAAACAGAAGAATGGCAAAGTTATTTTTAAGAATGTGATATAGAACATTAAGTTTTATGAGGGGAAAATGTAAATTTTCTGTGCATTATGTGTGATGAATTAAATTTTAAAGCAGTTACAGAATCCAGCTAAATCATTGCAGGCTGAAGTAAGTTACCAGTTTTGTGAAGTTATGGATTATGGGGAGGTAATAAGTCTATATTCTGTCACTTAGTAATTGGTTAATCTGTTGGTTAACTTAGTAATTGGTTAACTGTCAGTTTTGTCATCTGTAAAATGAAAATATTAATACCAACCTCTCAGGATTATAAATTACAGAGTTATTAGTCCATTGAAAAAAAGATGTCAATATTTGTTAAGGGAACTGACATTTAATGAATGACTACTATGTGTAGGATGTTATGCTAGAATATAAATCTCATTCCTCACAACATTTCTGTAAGGATAGATTCTACCATATGACAGAAGGGGAAATGGGTTTAGAAAGGCTGAAAAATTACCCACAGTCTTAAGGCTGGAGACCAAAGTTTATCCATGAAAAGAACTACATGCTTCTTTTGATTATATCATGCCAACTTATTGGGAGATGATATATAATAAGTTGCTTTTTGCTATTATTTCTCTTTTTTAAACCTGTGGTCAAGTGTTAAATGTAATTGTGTCATCATCATGTGACTTTTTTTTTTTTTGGTAAGATGATTAAAAAATTCTAAACTTGTGCCATGTGTATCCTTACTCCCCAGAATTTACTGGAGATGTAACTAACCTACTAAACTGTGATGAACACTATCAAGAGCATTTAAGTGTACAGTCTGACCATGAGAGGTTTCTCACACTGTTTACTTCATAAGCTGGTTCTTTTTCCTAGCCCAGATAATTTTTAAAATTTATCTGGTAAAGTCTGAGTTTAACAAACATAGGAACCTCAAAGAAAAAAATTTTGAACTCCACTTATCTTAATGTAGTCAACCTTTTATCAAGAATATTAAAAAATATAGATAAATCTTCATGAAATATACTTTAAGAACAATATTTTAATTAGATATAGATATTCTAAGTTAAATGAGGACTACTGAGTGACCATGTGTACTTTTTCTAGCAGTTTTCTGACAGTAGCTCTTACCATTTATAATATTAAATGTACCAAGATAGAAGGCACAGGTACATTCTACCAGTGACTTTGCCATAGGACACAATTTTCTCAGCTTTAACTTGGAGTTTTCTTTAAGCATAAACATACAAATCCTTTCTTGCTAATAAACAAAACTGACCTATAAACACAGAGGTTCCAGTGATTATTTTTGGTCCTCTGCTCTTAAATTTGATCTGACAGCCAGAGCTCACAGACATTTGAGGAAATCCTCCAACATGAAAGAGAAAGACCAAAACAAATGAAAAGGGGATAAAAGAAACAGGGAAGAAAGAGATAATATACAGAACCATTGAAAACATGTATTTTTTAAAAATACAATTATAATTAGGATGCTCAGAGAGATAAAAGATTTTACATTCATGAAACAAGAAACGTGCTATTACAACGGAGCAATCAGAACATGAAGGTGCGCATATAAACTAAAAATATGATAGCTGACATAAGTTCAATCAAGGGTTGGAAGTAAAGCAAAGACAAACAAGTGGACAATATGAAAAGAAAGAAATAAAATGAATCCAAGGGATCTAATGTCCGACAATAGGTCTTTCAGATAGAGAGAAGCTAGGAGAGAAAATTATCAAAGAAACAAACTGAAGATGTAAATATGCAGATTAAAAGTGATCACTAAGTACCCAGAAAAGGGAAGGAAAAAAGATTCATAATAAGGCCTGTCATCATGAAGTATCAAAATATTAGGGATAAAGAGAAGATGCTAAAAGATTTCAGAAAGAAAATAAAAAGGTTTAACACAGAAGAGTTGTAGCAAAAGGACATTGGAATTCTCAGTAGCAACATTGATGCTGAAAGATTGAAAGATGCTGGAAGGCTGTGGTTTCTGAGTTATAAATGGAAAAGATTTTTAACATAGAGTTTTATACCTAGGCCCACTGTTGGCCAAGTAGGAATGTAGAATGGTAGTTCTCAAATGTAAGCGTGCATTATAATCACCTAGAGGGAAGCCATTTTCCACGATCTAAACCCACAGTTTCTGGTTCAGTAGGTCTGCAGTGAGGCATGAGAATTTGCATTTCTAACATGTTCTCTGGCAATGCTGATGCTGCCTAGGAACCCCACTTTCAGTACCACAGTAAAATGACATTTTCGGAAATACAAGGTCTTAAAATTTCTACTTCCCATTCACTCCTCAGGTACTGCAGAATTTGCCCCATGAAAACAAAGGAGTAAGTCAGGAAAAGGGAAGGCATGAGATCTAGAAAGATACAACACAAGAAAGAATAAAAACAACTCACAGGGTGATGTCAAAGACTAGTTCTAGGATATAGCTGGACAGCGTGTCCAGAGAGCAACTAGTCCAGACTGGAGCAGAGGGCAGGGTCCAGGGAAGATGTTGCCAAGAGAAAAAGAGAATGGAAGAAAGAAACAGATTGTTCCAAACTTGACCATGTAGAAGACTGTTGAGAGGTATTCTGCAGTGCTGTTGAAGGGGCTAAAAAGACCAGGACGAGGAGAATGTTGAGTTCCAGAGATGAGAGTGGACAGTCTTGCCTTGTTTTTGATCTTGCAAGGGGGAAAATTATCTGTTTGATACATATATGTGTATATTTATATACATGCTATTACCTCTAAGTTTTTCACGATACTTTTTATCAGTTAGGGAATTTCCTTCTATTCCTAGTTTGCTAAGAGTTGTTTCATTAAGGTGTATTAGCGCATTGTATTAACCATCAAAAATTGTTAATTCTACAGAAGCAGAGATTGATATTCGTTTGAGAGAAGAATTTTCTAAAATGTGTTTTGAAACATTGCTCCAGTTTTCCTTCAGTAATAAAGTCACAACACCTCAAGAAGGCTACATTTCACGAATGGCACTCTCAGTGCTTCTAAAGAGATCTCAAGATGTACTACATCGTTATATAGAGGATGAAAGATTAAGTGGTAAATGCCCTCTTCCAAGGTACATGTATATGTGTATTTTTAATTAAAGAAGGAATTAACTCTCATAGTTAATAATTTTTTAAAAACTCTGAAAATCAAGTGTTTTCATAGGTGATCTGAGCTTAACCTGAGGCTGTTTATAATTTTTAGTCCGTACAATGTAAATTTCCAAAGTTTGCTGCAGATATATCAATGTGTTTATCATGCGGTGCTTTCCAGACTAGTTGTGGAGAGTAAGTAACATATGATATATATGCCAAATTACTTACTTGAATTTGAAAAGAAATCAAAGTCTAAAATACATGTTCTCAAGGATTTCTGGGTAAGGACTTGTGGATCTGTATGAACACAGATCATGACTGTGGATCTCTCTAGAGATAATAGATAAATCATATTCTCTGAACTTCCTGGTTTGTTTTATAATCATTTGTAGGTTTCTCCATAAGTCCTCTGCCATATCTCAGATCTTCTTTTCATCCAGTTTGCTTTATTAAGTCCTTGTATCCAAACTGCTTTGCTTCTCATTTAGTCAAGCCATGCCAGTTGAAGGGGCTCTGGGTCTTTCTGCTAAACCAAGGCTAATCAAAGTTGGGGTATAGATCAGAATTTATCAAAAAATGCAATCATAAATTAGGGTTATGTTGCCAATCTATTTTTTAATGTGGAAGTTAGAGTTTAAGGCAAAGCAAATGAAGCAGATAGAAAACAATATTGGAAGACAAAGTTATCAAAGTCAGGAAAGAGAAAAATCATTGTGGGTCCCATCTTATAAGGTAGTATTGAAAAGGTGAATCACTGACCCTGAATCTTTGTGTACTTTCTTAGTTACTTAGAATAAATCCCCGGAGTTGGCATTGACCTGTCAAGAGATTCAGACAGTTTAAAAACTTTGATATGTATTACATATTGCCTGTTAGAGACTTCTGCTAATTCATATTATCCCAGGAATATTGAACATCCTTTTTCCTCAAGTTTTGGCAGTTTAAAATTATTTGCCATTTGATGAATGAAAAAATAACAACATAGTAGTTTGATTTCTTAAAAATTTTCGGTTTTGTAAGTTGCTTTGTTTGGAATATTTTCATTAGATTATAAGATATTATTTGATTTCAGAAAGCAACTTTTCCTTTATTTTTGTTTTGTTTACTCTATTGCTTTTAAATTGAGTCTTAACAGTTGTTACAGTGTATCATCCTATGTTTGATGCAGTATTACTACATTATTTTCTAAAACACTACACTGCAACACAATAAAATACTTACAAAAGGAGGCTTGGAATAAGTACCCTGTCATGGTATTAGGAAAGTTTTATCTGTTGAATGATAACACAGATTAGGGTTAGGGTGTAGGGGAAGACTGGAGGGTAGAAGAGCCATTTCTGCAGGAGAAAGAAGGAAATCAAACTACTCTTATGGATCCTTTACTCCAAGCTCATTCTTCATTGCTAATGTCTCAAATAGTGTCAACTTCGGATTGATTTTGAGCCTATTTCTTACTTGTTATATTATAAGGTTAAATAAGTACTGTTATAATTTTAAAGATACTTTTGACAGCATGATGAAATATGTGCCAGGAGGTAATAGTAGTCTTTATTTCCATTTAAGCTTTGGCAAGTCCCTTTTGTACTAATTAGTTAAAAACAAACAAACAAAAAAAACCTTTTGTAGAAATTGTAAAAGCATATCTTATATATTGTTTTACTTTTAAGTAGTTAATGAAATATCTTACAAATAAATTTATACTTATATGAGTAGATTGCCTTTCCCCCCATTTTAATGTTGATAACTTATAGTTAGAATAACTATAAATCTTATTTGCACACTGAAGTACATGTTAAATGAAATGATTTTCTTTTATAAGAATTTAAAACTATATTAACTTTGCATTGTCTCGTGTTCAGTATTTTCCAAAGTGTGTCTATTTATATAACTTAGTAAAAAATACACATGGCATAATTTTAAATTTTTTTTTACATTTTTTATTGAGTTGTAATCATTTTACAATGCTGTGTCAAATTCCAGTGTAGAGCACAATTTTTCAGTTATACATGAATATACATATATTCAATGTCACATTTTTTTCCACAGTGAGCTACCGCAAGATCTTGTATATATTTCCCTGTACTATACAGTATAATCTTGTTTATCTATTCTGCATGTGCCTTTCAGTATCTACAAATTTTGAAATCCCAGCCTGTCCCTTCCCACCCCCTGCCCCCTTGGCAACCACAAATTTGTGTTCTATGTCTGGGAGTCTGTTTCTGTTTTGTATTTATGTTTTTTTTTGTTTTTGTTTTTGTTTTTTTTTTTGGAGTACACATATGAGTGATCTCATATGGTATTTTTCTTTCTCTTTCTGGCTTACTTACTTAGAATGACATTCTCCAGGGACATCCATGTTGCTACAAATGGCATTATGTTGTCATTTTTATGGCTGAATAGTATTCCATTATATAAATATACCACCTCTTCTTTATCCAGTCATCTGTTGACAGACATTTAGGCTGTTTCCATGTCTTGGCTATTGTAAATAGTGCTGCTATGAACATCAGGGTACAGGTGTCTTTTTGAAGTAGGGTTCCTTCTGGATATATGCCCAGGAGTGGGATTCCTGGGTCATATGGTAAGTCTATTCCTAGTCTTTTGAGGAATCTCCATACTGTTTTCCATAATGGCTGCACCAAACTGCATTCCCACCAGCAGTGTAGGAGGGTTCCCTTTTCTCCACAGCCTCTCCAGCATTTGTCATTTGTGGATTTTTGAATGATGGCCATTCTGACTGGTGTGAGGTGATACCTCATTGTAGTTTTGATTTGCATTTCTCTGATAATTAGTGATACTGAGCATTTTTTCATGTACCCGTTGATCATTTGTATTTCTTCCTTGGAGAATTACTTGTTTAGGTTTTCTGCCCATTTTTGGATTGGGTTGTTTGTTTTTTTCTTACTAAGCTGTATGAGCTGCTTATATATTCTGGAGATCAAGCGTTTGTCGATTTCAGCATTTGCAAAAATTTTTTCCTATTCTGTAGGCTGTCATTTTGTTTTACTTATGGTTTCCTTTGCTGTGCAGAAGCTTGTAAGTTTCATTAGGTCCCATTTGTTTATTCTTGCTTTTATTTCTATTGCTTGGGTAGACTGCCCTAGAAGAACATTTTTGAGATGTATGTGAGATAATGTTTTGCCTATGTTTTCTTCTAGGAGATTTATTATATCTTGTCTTATGTTTAAGTCTTTGATCCATTTTGAGTTTATTTTTGTGTATGGTGTAAAGGAGTGTCCTAGCTTCATTGATTTACATGCTGCTGTCCAGTTTTCCCAACACCATTTGCTGAAGAGACTGTCTTTATTCCATTGTATATTCTTGCCTCCTTTGTCAAAGATTAGTTGACCAAAAGTTTGTGGGTTCATTTCTGGGCTCTCTGTTCTGTTCCATTGGTCCATATGTCTGTTTTGGTACCAATACCATGCTGTCTTGATGACTGTAGCTCTGTAGTATTGTCTGAAGTCTGGGAGAGTTATTCCTCCAGCCTCTTTCTTTTTCTTCAGTAATGCTTTGGGCAAGTCTAGGTCTTTAGTGGTTTCATATAAATTTTATTAA